TAAACCAGTTGAGGAATAAACTTCCATAAAAGCTGTGAAGAGTTTGGAATAAAATGCTCTGCACTATACAGCAAATACAACTGCTACTGCTACTGGTACTGGTACTGGTACTCGTAAATAAAAAATAAGTTAAATACAAATAAATAAACCTTTAGGCTTTAAATAAATGAATTAGCATGAGGCGGCCTGAGCATGCAAACGCTTCCACATAATCAAAGGAAAAAGGATTTATCTGGAAAAACAAATAAACATAAAAAACTTTGTGTATCTAAAGTGTAGTTATATATGTACATATTAGTTTGGAAAAAATATTTTTTATACTACTGCATTTTTTTTTTTTTGGTTTTTTTCTCAAAGTAAAATGCATTTTATATTCCAAACTCCATAACACACTTGTGACTGCAACAATAGCGCCAGGCGCTTACCAAAACCAAATGAAGGTTTGAACAAAAAAGTTTTGAAGCATTTTGGCACCTATCGATAGTCGTAGATGAATAAATATGAACTGTGCCGTTCAGTTGACCAACTGGTAACAAATAATCCAAAACTACCGCTTTCGGCTAGTGTTTTTTTTTCGGTGGCTCCAACAGTATGCCAACGGTGGCCGCTGGTGGCGCTTGGTGGCGTTTGGTGGCGGTTGGCGGCATGGGTATTTGGCAACTACTCCAGGCACTTGTGTATGAGCACTTTTGTAAAACAGCTCGTAACTTGTGCATTTTATCAGTCGGCTTAATCTCGCATACATTCAATTTCCTACAAATTTTTTTTCAGCTACTTTCTTTCTTTTCACTTTCTCTTTTCTTTTTTTTGTATACCTTCACGTGCTGTTCAATGGGTTTTGCGCCTTTTTTTTTTGATTTTTTTTTAAGTGTTACCACTAAAGTCCTGGCTATGTTGTCGTGTTACTGTATTTGTACGTAATCTGATTTTTTTTCCATTTAACAGGTTTGTTTTATACTATTTTTATTGTTTTCTGCTTTTTATTGTTTTGAGTTTATTTTTATTTTGTGCATTTTTGGTATATTTTTCAAACCAACTTTGCACACAAACACTCACTCACACACACACACACACAGTTACAATTCCTATATTCACACTTTCATGCAATGACAAAGTATAAAATTGTATATATTTTACCAACGTGTCCCGCTTGTCTGAACCTCTCCTGGTCTCATGTACTTTCACCTCTCTATATTGTGTGCACCCTTTGCATAATTGAATAAAGTTCGTTAGTAAAGCATTTAGAGTTTAACTTTGTTTTGTTCTTCAATGTGTTTGTTTTTTTACATTTCCCCCATATCTCTATGCGGGTTTGTGTGAATCTATGTCAGTTTGATGCTATAATGGAACCCTGCTGTTAACAATACTGTCGGCCGTTAAGCTTATCTGATGAATATGTTACGTGTTTTTTCTCTTAATCTGAATTTTTCTTTGATTTCTTTACATCAGTTTTTTTTTTTCACACATACTTTTTATAACCTAGCATTCTTATTTTTATTTAATTTATTTTTTTTTTTTGTTTTGTTTGATTGCCATTTAATTTTTTACAAATAATTTGAAGAAGCTGCAACAATTCTTTAATTAATAACAATTATGCGACAGCTTTCAATTGTTACAGTCAACATACTCTCATTAATTATATCACCTCCTTCAGCGTAAATTAAATCCTTTCAACTATTAAATTACAAACAAAATGTCATAAACTGAACACAACACAACACAACGCAACGCACACAAGCCGATTGCTTTCCCATAATGCCCAACATACCCCAGCATCGACATCGACATACCTCACCGCCATTAGTAAACCAATACCACCACGAATAACAACACACAGGAGTGCAAAAAAGTACGGCAGGAAATTGAAAACATAAAATTTTATTTTATTTATATTTTCTTCTTCGTTACAACATAAAAGAGTTTCTTTTCAAATGTGTGTATGTGTGTTTGTGTGTGTGTGTGTGTGTTGGTGTGTTGGGTGTATTTTTGGTATATTTGAATGCAGATACTTTCCGCTTCCTTTGCCGTGTGCACGCTGATTTCCGTTGGTTAAGTGCCGCCAATTTTTGGTACTCCTTAAATATGCTTGTACTTTCACTCAATGGATTCGTTGTTTGTTGCCTTTTAATCTTTTAATATTCCTTAAATTGTTAAGATTGTTGATTTTAGCTATTTAATATTATATAAAAGCGTCCTTTTACCTGCATTATGCCACTTCTGCCCACTTCTGCTTCACTCCCGTCCACTATTGACTAACCTTACTCTCTACTACTACTTTGTCCATATAAACGTATTCATGCATTTGTAAATAAACAGATACATTTAAGGTAATTGAAGTGGTTTGGTAAGTGCTTTTGAGGCAAACGTTTTCCTTTGCATTTTAAGTGCGCTTCAAAATGGACACAATTTTACTGTTATTTTCATAGAAATTATGTTGATTTTCAAGTATTTCAACTTTAGCTTTATTTTTATTTGCAATTTCTTAAATTGAAAATATAATAAAAAGTTACGCTCATAGATTCCCACAGGAATTGCTTGCATGCCATTTTTAAGACTAACAATTTAATTGAATTAAATTCAAATATTTCCTTCAGTTGTTAGATATCTCTTGTAATTTTACATATTATATGGTACGATTAAAAGAATAGGTTGATTGCTAAGCCTTTAGTTATAATGTTTTATATAAGTTAAATATTCTTTTTATTTTTTTAAGAAGTATTGATCTTGCTTGTTCGGAAGCTAAAGCAAGAGAGACCGAGCGCACTTTTGCGAAGTTGAGAGCTACCGAAGCCAAAAGCACGGTTGCCACTTGAAAATTTTTTTCTGTACCAAAATTGGTTTAAAAAGGTACCATTTCTGTAAAAAAAGGTAAAAAAAAAAAATTTTTTTGGACCTTTTTGTTTTCTCGTTCTGTGTTTTCATAGTGTTATAAATGAACAAAATATAAAATAGTGCAAAGTTGCATTTATAAAAAACATTAATTGGAAATATCCACAATAAAGTTGGGTCGTCAAAAATGTACCATTTTTTGAACGTGAGTACCAAACGAAAAAAAAAAAAGAAAAAGTACCAATTTTGGTACTAAAGTACCATAAGTGGCAACCGTGGCCAAAAGGGAACTTCTCCAGACAAACAAATGGATGTCCCGTTTGGTATGAACCATGCGTTCGAATAATATCGCATGATTGCTCCGTTAATGAAACTAAGCACAGGGCCGGATTTGGGAGACGCGTGAGTTATATTCTCTTATCTTATCCCTATACTAAATATTTTATTATCGTTGTTTGACCTAATCAAACAACGAAAGATCTACATTATATTTTATTATATTCTATTATCTTTAACTAAACATTATAACTAAAAAGATTGTTATCGCTGTTCAGCCTAACCAAACAATGAAATGTTCTCATTGTATTCTATTATAATTACATACCGTATTATACTTTAAAATCTCTAAATAAACATTGTAATTAAAAATATTATTCTCGTTGTTCGGCCTAAATAAACAACAAATTCTCTTATCAGGATTCGATACTTCGAATCCTCACTATAAATATAAGCAAAGTTGTTAGTTATAAGTTAGTCTTAAGATTCATTTAAACGAACAAAAATCTTATTGGGATCAATTTGTTCGGATCTAATTTTTTAGATGATGAAATGTGCATCATAGAATGTCTTAGAGGGAAATAAAAACCCCCAGCATTATTCAAAATTTGGACAATCAAGTAAAATAAAAATGTGAAATTCTTTGTTCTTCTAGAATTCAATATTCTTTGAAACGACTTATATTGCAAGTCTTCAAACTATCTTTATATCTGTTACTACTAACTTACTATAAGTGATACTTCTTACACATTATTAAAAACTTTTTTCGTAAATGAACACAAATGATATTTCAAATTATAACCTTTATTTTATTTTTGCTCTATCCATCAAAATTGAAAAATTATACACAATCTGCAAGGGCTTATGTTCGAAACTAGATACTATTAAATTTTATTTTACAAAATCCAAATTTGATATAAATAGTTGTCTACCTCAATCAGATCTAAACAAAGTAATATAAAAAATTTTTAAATTCTTATATCTTAAAAAAAATTATTTTATATTTATTATAAAAACTATTTGAGTTCTGTCAACTTCAAATTCCAAATCAAATTTTTTTTTGATACCATTAGAGGCATGTCTAAAAAGTAAGTAAGTTTTCGTGTGAAGGTCAATAACTACGAGGGATATAAATCTATTTATTTTTAGTTGAAACAATGCTTTCTGAAGAACAAATTTTGCCGTCTTCAAGCGTCGTTCAGTCTCCAGAACAGGGTCAAGAAAATGTGGGTAGTATGGAGGCCAAACCGCTAGGTCAGTGTAAAACGGAACTGAAGTCACTTACAGATCAATCTGAAGAGGACTTCATAGATTCTTTAAGTGAACAGGAATACGAAAATAAGGAGGCGTCCAATAAGTTCCAGGTAGATCTAAACCAGCCCATAGACGGAAATGGTGTGGAACAGTTTTTTCAATCAGTTAAACAAGAGCAGAAGAAACAGGGATCAATAAAAGACAGTGTTGAGAAAGTTCATAAAGATGAGAGGGACTATTCATTTGGGAATTCAATTAAATTTTGTGTGATTTTTTGTGTAGCTGCGTTTGTTTCGCGGGTGTTGGTTACTTGGATGCATTACGTTGACGTTTCAAGTAACTATAACGGTAATAATAGTACATGCTCTGTCAATTTCGAAAATAATTGATTTTAGACATTGTTTTAATTTGTAGTGCTAAATGAAAATTTAAATAAATACTGAACTGATAGAAACCTACTTACTTTTAAATGTTTAAATATACAGGTATATGTATATACGGTATACAATTTTCTTGATCTTTGATTTGTGCTTTGATTAGAGAAAATAATTTATGTTTTGGATCCATGAAAGTTTAACTTATTTTGATGACTTTGTATTCAGCAAAAGAGATGGTCGCCTTAATAAAAGATTTTCCAATAGCTATTCTGTCATACCTGAAATAAAAAATAAATGTAATATAAATTACCAGGTTTTCCCAATGTTGATCCCAGTGGTTTTACCAGAAAAATGATAACCTGAAACAATTATGAATGAAATAGCCATTCTTTAAACAAAAAATAAATGTAGTGTAAATTACCAGGTTTTCCCAATGTTGATCCCAGTGATTCAACTAAAACAATAAAGTAGATGTACCGCTGTTTAGTATAGCAAATAGTGAAGAATAGTGAACTATATTCACTACAGTAAGTAGCCTATAGTAAGTAAATTTGGTATGTTATCAAGGGATCGTAAATGGGTTTCTCGACATTTGTCACATATTCATCATTTCTCAATTATCTTTAATTAAATGTAAACCTATACATCTGCTGTTTGCTAGAAATTACGAATTCTATAGGTCCATAACATTGAGCTAAGCTTCCAAAACTGCACTCAGATGCTTTCAGTCATACCAATTCCACTTATAAGAATCGTATAAGCGCTTTGATACCTATTTTCGGCAATCCTACATACCGATCTTCATATCGAAACCTTAGCAACTTACTAAAGTAAAGAGATATTGAACCTTTTGGTATCATCGATTCTCAACTGAGCACTACAATTTCCTTACTAATGAGAGTAAAGTCTATTAATATCGATAGATAAGCGGATTATAAATGAATAAAAATATTACCGCTTGTTATGAATTTATGTACTGAATCCGCACACACAACTGAGTGATGATACAACGGTTTATAAACTGTTAGTAAGCGTCGTATCATCACTCAGTTGTATGTGTGGACTCGGCATATAAATTCATAACAAGCGGTAAGATTTTTATTCTATTATGAGGTATGGAAGAATACCTCCTGCTCAAAAAGTATCCGGATTTTGTTGTTTGTTAACTACTCCTTAAATAATAGATCTTTATCAAAAAATTTTTTTTGTTATGTTGGTGAACCCTTTCTTGACATATGGTACAAATTTGAGCGCCATCTGTCAATTAGTTTGTTTACAGCAGCTGTTAATGTGAGACTACCTCGAGTGCATTTAGCGCTTTTTACTATGGAAAGTTCTTGTTGTACTCGATTTTTTGACCAAACACGGCACCACTGTCATCGCTCAGGCACCATATTCGCAAGATCTGGAACCGTGCCTATTTTTCCTGTTCCCGAAACTCAAATTGCT